ATTTATATATAAATATATTTATATATATTAATATGTTCATATTTATTTTATATAAATATATTTATATATATATATTTATTTGTATATTTATTTATATATTTATATATATTAATATGTTCATATATTTTTTTTATATATTTTTTATATTTAAATATATATATATTTATATATATTAATATATTTATTAATATATAAATAAATATATAAACAAATAAATATATAAATACATAAATATATATATATAAATACATATACAAATAAATATATAAATAAATAAATATATAAACATATAAATATATATACAAATAAATACATTAATAGATATACAAACAAATATATAAATAAATATATAAATAATTACAGTATATAATATAAAACAATAATACAGCATATATATAAATAAATAAATATATAAATATATATACACAAATAAGTATATAAAAATAAATATATAAATAAATATATAAATATATAATAAATATATACATAGGCCTATATATATAAATGAATATACAAATAAATATAAAAATATATAAATAAATATATAAATATATGCAGTATATAAAAAATAATATATATATAAATAGATATATAAATAAATACAGTACATATATATATATAAATAGATATATATGCATAAATATATATATATATATAAATATACAAATGAATATATATATATATATATATATAAATAAATATATGAACATATTAATATATATATATATAAATATACAAACAATATATAAAAAATTTAAATAATTATATAAATATATAAACATATAAATATATATAAATACATACAAATATATAAATAAATATACAAAAAATATACAAATATATAAATAAATATATAAATAATTACAGTATATAATATAAAACAATAATACAGTATATATATATATATATAAATAAATAAATATATAAATATATATATACACAAATAAGTACATAAAATAAATATATAAATAAATATATAAATATTTAATAAATATATACATAGGCCTATATATAAATGAATATACAAATAAATATATATATATAAATATACAAATAAATATAAAAATATATAAATATATAAATATATACAGTATATATAAAAATAATATATATATATAAATAGATATATAAATAAATACAGTACATATATATAAATATATCTGTATGTACAGTATGTATCTGTATATCTGTATTTTAACAACATCTCTATCAGCGCTGCATACTTCCGGATCGACGATTAGAAAAAGTGTATGTACTGCACATGACTGGACTACACAGGCAAAGCTCCTTGGTGGAAAAAAAAAGATTTAAATGTATGGCTAGCATGGCTCGCGCATTGGCTCGCACTTTGTCATGACCCGATGCGAAGTACAAAAACTAATCTCATTAGAGCCGGACCTCTTTATTTATCGCTCACTATCATATCGGCAATGTAGACAGTTCAGTAAAACAGATTAATTCATTTTTTTTTTTTTTTATTAATTGTGGGATGAATTAAAATATCTTATTATGAGAGTTCATGGCATGAAAAAATCACCCTGCCTACCTAGGCTTGACTGCATAAAGTACACGCAAAAGCGAGAGCATCTCAGCGGATGCAATCTACAACCTCGGAATTTGCCTATTAATGAAGAAGTCTTCTAGAAAACGGTAATCTCCTATGAGAAATAATTTTTTTATCCTTTGTGTAAAACTAAAATGTATGCCAATATTTGTTCATGGTTTATAATAATTAGAGTAATGCATATGCATTTTTTCTATAAAAAAATTATGTATTTTAGTGAAATTTGCCGGGAATGGGGATTTAATGCACAATTGGATGGACTATATTTAGAACTAAAAATATTTTTCAAATACTGACACACTCCTGCAAATGCAGTTCAACTGGGCTCAGCGTCTTTGATTCTCTGCGTTTTTTGTGTCCTTTACCATATGAAAAAGCAGCCATCAGAATTGCAGCCAATAAAAAGCAACCTGCTATCACTTGAAATGAACGATCATAATCACCAGTCGCATCAAAAAGCAATCCTAAGAAATAGATCAAATAAATTTAAAATACAGTAATGCAGTACACACAACATGGTACATCAAAAGGGATCCAGCTCTAGTGACAGCACTGTCATGTTAAATAAAGTGGTGGTGCACAGATTTGGGGTGAAGTCCTAGTGGGAGTCTAGGTGATTTTAAGCTGTTCTTTCTGATATGCATTAGATTGTATTGTACCCCCAATTTTAAACAAAACAAAAATTCTACAAGTCATGTCCAACAGGGGGCTTGGCCTGTCTGGATGGGACTTAAGCCCCTGCCCCCCCCCCCCCCGACACACAGGCATCGGCACTGTTTAAATACTTTACTTTCTTATACAGGATTGGGTCATGCCTGTTTACATATTTTATTTCAGAAAGGCTGTATAAAATCATGCTGAAAGGTTTTGTGCACTATTTATATATTATTTAGCTTACATTAACCAAAGCAATGATAGTGTGCAGTACTGTACTACGGCAGATCAAAGAACCCAACAAATTACATGGGAATACTAGGATACCCATGACCAAAACTGAGGGGTCATCCATAACCCACACTGGGGCAGCTATGACCCATACAGAAGTTACTCATGATGAATAATGGTGGCATGAACATGACCCTACCGATGAAATCCACATTCACTGTTGGGAACATACACTTATAATCCATACTGTGGGCAAAGTGACCCATACAGGAAAAATCCATTTACCCATACTGAGGAAACCCCAATGGAAAATACTGGGACAGTACACCCACAACCCACCTAGGAAACTAGTGCCCACACCCATTCCATACCAGACATACTGGAGAACAATAATATGGTACACATATTAATTTTCCTATTAAAATAATCAAGTAAAAAATCTTAATGTCTAACCTGGTATGAGACCACCTAAGAATCCTCCAATGCCTCGAAAGATGAATAACCATGCAACAGCCCCGGACAACCTGCTGGAAGGAACAACACTCTTTGCAATTGGTATGGAAGCACTTTGAAATATTCCGCACACACATCCATAGCACAAGCTGTATATCAGGAAAGAGGGGAAGCTCTTGCAGAACAGAGACAGAAATGTAAAGACAGAGCCCAAGGTCAGAGCTACAGTGTACAGACGTACAGCTGACAATAAACCTTTATCGATGATTATACCATGAGTGGCTCGAGCTACCATACTTGTTAATCCAATTCCAGAGAGGAGGAAAGCTGCTGAGAAAGGTGCAATGCCCTCTGAGACACCCCTGGCTACAATGTGGGCTAAGACACCTGCATTCGCCATTCCCACAATCAAAGTTACAGGCATAAACATCAGATACTTTGGTAATAAAAAGAGAGACAGATCCATAGAATTAAAAAATTTCTTTATAACAGAAACATGCATCCGAGATACTGTGTCGTCGGAATTGCTAGGCCCACCCTCATTATTTACTTCTGACGCAGAAAAAACGAAAGATTCATGTGCAGAGGAGGAATCTGTGTTTTGATAGCCTTCAGTCTCATTCAAAAGTTTTGCCTGGCTTTTAGGCACAGTTTGACTGTCTGTGAGCTCAGTGACAGCAGAGTCACTGATACCGCCAACCTTCATATTACGAACTGTCTCATGATTTTCAAGCATAATGACAGATTCTCCAGGATTAGCATCATCATATTCCTCAATTCTGCCAGCTCTATCAGAAATTCCCTCTTTGATACGTGGATTTGGGCGAAATAGTGATCCCATTGCCGTAACGTTCATAGAAATAGCACCTAAAATTAACAATGCGCCTCTCCATCCATACAATTCTGATAAGTAGTCTGCCAATGGAGGTAAGAGAACAATGCCTAGGTCGACTCCTGCCATAGCAACACCATTTGCTGTTGCGTAATTTTTATCAAAGTAGTAAGCAATCACAACCAAACATGGGTTACCAGTAAGTCCGATCCCAACGCCTAGAAAAGAAATTCATAAATTTAAACATTTTAATTCTCTTGTTGTAATCAAAGTAAAATAAAAGAGTCAGAGTAAGACATGAATATTCAACTTGATATGGAACAATGAGTCAAACATCAATGTTTACTCAGCATTGAACTCAAAAGATCAAATATTATTGGCCTATTATTTTTATTTATTCATTAGAGGTTTACTGTAAATTTATTACATAATTTAGAACGTACCATTTTGTTTTAAAGCTCTGCTTTTTATGGTCACGTCATTTGTAGCACTTAAGGACAAGTGAAATAGGGTGAAAGTGAATAAAATCATGTTAAAAATTAAAGGAATCAAATCAAATCTTTCTTTAACCTGGAAGTACTCTCTCAATACATAAGTACTGGACCCCAAGAGGTCCAAATTCAACAGTAAAACAATCAAGTAACAAAGTAAATACGTATATAAATCAAGATAGGTGGTTAGTTAATACTATTCTGAAATATATTTAATGTAATGGTGTCCAGATATCTAAGGTGAGCTCATTCCATAATTTACATGCCCTGTAAAGGTAGGTTCTCTTTCCTTGTATATTGTTCAAGATTGGGATGATTAGAGTATTTGAAGATTGATTTCTTATATTTTTGGAATGACAGTATTAGTAAATTTATGTTTTGAAAAAATATATTCAGGAGTCATGCATTTTGGAGATTCAAAGCTCATAATTACAATATGTTTATCTCATTTATCTTTAACCATTTTCCAATCCACTGCATCCATCAAGTCCTTTACTGGAGTCACTGTATGTCAGCATGTAACACCAGAAAGATGAACAGAGCTTTTGTAATAGTAGTGTAATATAATTTTGTACCAGTTATAATGTGAATGAGTGAGTTGTGCAAAAGCACATTAAGCGTTGGAGCCCACGTTAACGTTACTTCTTGAATCCTCTAAAACTGGGGGTTTCATCATTTAAACACTGTCAAAATTGGAGTTTATAACCACAAAAGGTTAAACTAAGTGTACATAAGTACTCTCTGGTGTATATAAACCCCAGGTGGGCAAAGTGCGGCCCAACGATCTTTTTGCGGCCTGCGAAAATGAATTAAAAACCCTATGTGCGCAACCCGCCAAGCTACATCGGCTTGAAAACACCTTGTTTTTTTATGGCCCGACACCGATCATATGTAGAAAGTACAGTAGAACCTCAATTTGACGTATGGTACGGGACCAGAGGTCGTACATAAATCGGGGGATTCGTAAAATTGAGGTTGGGTTAAATTTGTGGTAACCTTTGACCTAAATACCTACGTAACGCTCAATAAACGTACGTTATGAACGAACGATGTTACCTAGGCTAGACCTAGCCTCTCTAGGCCTACGAATAAAACCATGTGTTGCTGTTTAATAAAAATATGTTGCATTAAGGTTTGTTTATTGTTATAGTTTATTGTTATAATCTATTTACTTATTGTTGCTCTAAAAAGGGCCGTTTGTTTTGAATATTTTGGGGGTTTTTTGATGACGACATCGTCGATACGAGGCATATGTAAAACCGAGGGTTTGTATAACTGGGGTACGTAAAAACGAGGTTCTACTGTAAGATTAAAACTGAGAATAAATTGGTGGAAAAGCAGTTCTTGGAGGTTTTTGGAAGCACACTGGAAACAACAAAGTTTGGGAGCGGCCCTCGGTGTTAAATCAAAAGTTCACTTTGGCCCTCTGACCTAATGCAGGAATTTAGGTTAAGAGACACCTTCAATTATTGACCTCTATTTAGGTGCTTATTGTAGATAAAGAGAAATTGTAAAATTGAATAATGGGGACGTATGCAGTGAAGCATACCATAGATGTAGAATAATTTAAATTGGTGTACGCTTACACTTTGCAAGTGTTCTCTAGTAAAATTTCTAAAGATTGTCAGTTAACTACTTAAGCCGCAGTCGCACTGGATTTAAAAAGGGCAAGACTTTACCGAGACGCCGGTTAACTCTCCGAAGGTGAAATCGTACTACTACTACTACTACTGCCAGTACGAATTTAATTGTTGGGCCTAGGAAGGCTAAATAAACCATCCACAATTTCAATCAAATCAGCCATGCTCCAATAGTAATAATGCAGGCAAGCGAAAGTAGAAACAATGATATAAATTTAGTTACAACAATACCAACAAGCAGAATCCAAACAATATTCAAAACAGGTTCGTATCACACGAAATTGTGAGTTGAAATTGTGCGCCTGTGTGGCTGCCCAACATAGCGATAAATGTCATTGACTTCATTGACCCCGGAAGATTAACCGAGTCGCGCTGTTCGCATTGGACCATCTAGCCTGGTCAGATTCACTCCAGTAGTTTTCCTGAGCACAATTGACTCGGTGAAACTAACCGTTGACTCAGGTAAGTTTCCTGACCGGAAAACTTCCTATGTTGTTCCCACAGGACTTTTTATGCCTAAACTAATCGGCGTGTCGGTTAGTTTTACCGAAATAAGTCCCGTGCTATTGTGGCTTTAGTCTCCTACTGTCAAAACTGTTGTTATTTTTGTTCATTCATTCCGTCGTTAGATTTGTAATTGAGATTGAGCTTCTCAATACAATACCTGTTAAAACATCAATGAACAAAATAAGTTGAAATATATTTCTTGCAAACGATGTCAGAATCAGTCCGAGACCAATTACAAGTCCTCCTGCCATTGTCACTATCCGGCAGCTATATCTCTTGCACAACATACTAGCACCAAGACCTACAAAAAAAATCATAAGGACCAATGAAACATACACCCTCACTTTACATTCTCTTTGATTATAAAATTTACAGCATTCATTTTGAAAAGAAGACCTCTCTTTACTTTGCAAAAGTAGCCTCGAAAAGAAGCCCATCCAAAGATTGCAAAAAGAAGCTCAGGGCTTCAATTCAAGGTTTTACGGTATAGATCCATACTCAAATTATGAATATTCTCACTCACGTAAGAACCAATATACTCACTCAACAATAATGTGTATTATTAATTCCATGTTTAAAGCAAATCCTCTTATGATTTTCCTACCAACATGTTTATTACCATTTTTATTCATTTATGAATTACTAGCCTCTCAGAAGGAGCGAAGCTCCGGGGAGGTTGTTGGTTTTACCCATGTTACTCTTCATGTTTTTATTGTTGTCGATGTCGTTGTCATTGTTGGGAAGATTGTTACCACGATAACTAATGTTTGGTAAAGCCGATTTGTTTTAAACTTGGCAGAATGCAAGATGGTAATAAGAAGACGGAGCCTATTGTTTTTGGTAGGTGTGTGAATATGCTAATTGCTCATTTGCATAATTAATGTCACTAATAAGGGAATGTACAATAAATACCATCATAATTCCCATAAAAGATTTCTTACTTACTGTAGTTGAAATTGTAATGTCGTCCTTTACATTAAAAAAAAAAAAAGTGATTCGATATGCAGTTGAAAAGGAAATTTCCTTCAAACTTTTTAAATTAATGAACTTTTAATAAAGTTGAATTTAACACAATTTGCGTTGCTGAAAGCATTCAAACTAGTCACGACAACAGCTGACGCTATTTGCACTAAAACTCAACCAGCATCCAGGGATTCTTTTTTTGCAGGTAAGGTCAGCAAGTTTTTTTTTCTGTAGGTAAGTTGAGCCCATTGTAAGTTCTAAGCCACCAATCGTGATAATACACAACACAGCAATAGTGCACGTACATTAGGCTTACTTCTCAAAGTATACGGCTTGTTAGAAAATAGTACTTCGCCACATTAAATACTGTACATACTTTAAGTCTAGTCAATATGATTGAAATCCGATGATTTCCTACTGTTAACCTAAGCCTCAATGTAGACCTTACGATCAACGAGTGTTGGCTAATTCGTACCCAGGCCAACTCTCATACTCATTCAAACTCGTACCCACTTCGGGAGACAGCATGTAAATGCGCAAGATTCCGGATCGAATTGGGAGGGTTGGAATTTTTGTTTTTAATTACTTTTTTCTCAACAGTGGCAGTGGTGTATCTAGCAACAGTATTGTCTATGGGTATGTGCAAAAAATCCACAAAAATACTTGTGTCCCCACCAAGTAGGGCCCTCACCAAGTTCAGATCCCACCCAGTCTTCCCCCCACCAAATCACAGTTAAGCAGAAAAATTGCACCGCGGGGAGGCTATGCTTTTACTGCGTAGCTTAAAAGGAGTACTTCTAGTTAAAATTTGATTTGAGGTAATGAATACCCAAATCAAAGTCACTTGAAGGGAAAAGAGGGAATTGATTTCTGAACCAGCTAAATTCAACAATTTTGTAGGTCTTAAATGAGAGAAAACTTAATTTGATGTCATTGGAATTTAATAAACATATTTTTATCCTTATCCTTTCCTTGGTTTAGGTGATAAAACCAAGGGCCAATATCTCTCAGCATCATAGAGGTTGCATCCCCTTTACTGTCCGTGCATGTCTTAAATTCCATACAGTAGCAACGTTAGGTGACGGCCTAAAGATTACACATCGGGGCAGGGCAAAAAAGTATCCAGGAAACTTTGGTTGGTTGCATTTTTTTTTGCTATATTTTTTAAAAATTGGATATGATGTAGAGTAGACATAGATAAATCAAAAAAGTATGTGCAACATTTTTTTTCCATATGTAAGGGGGATTGCCAGCCATTTCAAAATGGCCACCATTTTTTTCCTAAAATTGTCACTAATATTGTAAATTTATGTCATTAAAATGCAGTATTCAATTGGAAATCCACTCATAACAATGACAGCAACAGTTAACTAAATATTGTACACATTTTTGAGCTAT